TTCTTTTATGATCTACTCCTCTTTTAAAAGAGTATTTGCTCTATTTATGTGATTTCTCTTATTTTTCTTGCTATTGTTTCATTTCATTGTGATCTCATAGAATGCATAGAATTATATGAGGTTTTTACATATTTGCAATGAATTACAAAGATTAATTGAAAGATTCCATGCACTTCTGGGAAGATAGTGAATTCAGCTATTTTGTGGTGAAACATTCTGTAGTTATTAGGTATATTTCAATTATACTATTATTTATGTTAAAATGTCTATTTTTACCCTTGTATGTCCTATCTATTGGTGACAAGGATGTTTTGAAATTCCCTAGTGTTATTGGGGTCTATCTGATATTTAATGTCAAGAAGCAGTATTTATTTATTTAGGTATATATGACAACAGAATGTATTTTAATTCATTGTACACAGTCGCAGTATAACTTTTCATTTCTCTGGTTGTATGTGATGTAGCATTGAAACATAGGTGCAGTCATACATGTACCTAGGGTGAGGATGTCCATTTTATTATACCATGCCCCCTCACCTTCCCTCCCTCCCATTTGCCCAAAATTCCTCCATTTTTCCCATACACCTCCCCACCCCCCATTAAGGATCAGCATTCACCTATTAGAACATTCAGCCTTTGGTTTTTTAAGATTGGCTTACTTTGCTTAGCATGGTATTCTCCAACTCCATCCATTTACCTGCAAATGCCATAATTTTATTCTCTTTTAATGAGGAGTAATATTCTATTGTATATGTATACCACAATTTCTTTATACATTCGTCGTCTATCTAGGTTGATGCCATAGTTAAGCTATTGTGAATTGAGTTGCTATAAATATTGATGTGGCTGCTTTACTATATTCTGCTGATTTAAAGAAGCATTGTTTTATGTAATTAGGTTCACTATCATTTGGGGTATACATACTTTCTATTGTTATATTTTCTTGTTGAATTGAAATTTTACTAGTATGTAAAGCATTCCTTGTCTTTTATGAATTTTGCTCCAAATCTGCTTTGTCAGATGAGAATAGCTACTCCTGCTTCTTTTAGGAATTTAAGAATGAAAAAATTTTTCCAGTAGTTTACATTCAGTCTATGAGTGTCTGTCATGGTTTGGATATGAGGTGTCTCCCACAAGCTCATGTGTGATACAGTGCAAGAAGGTTCAGAAGACAAGATTGAGTTTAAGAGTCTTAACACAATCCATGATTTAATCCCCTGATTGGGATTAACTGTGTGGTAACTGAAAACTGGTAGGGTGGAGGACATGAGAATTGGGGAGTGGCTTTGGGTATATATTGGCAATCAACAAGTGGACTCTTTCTGCTTCCTGATCATAACTTGAGCTGATTCTCTTCAACACATTCTCCCACCATGATATTCAGCCTTGCCCCAAACCCCAAGGAATGGATCTGGCCTTCTATGGTCTAAAATTT